AAAAACTGTGAGAATTTGGTAAAACTACTTTTTTCACAAAGAGTATCTACTTCCGTTTTTTTTTTGCGGTGGAAATCATACCTTTATACTTTTTTTTGTCTCTTATCGGTATGCAGATTGCCTTTCACGGAGCTCGTCTCATACACCTAGTGATAAACACTCGCTTTAAATTTGGTAAGCCTGCACATAATGCTAACAACTGGGTTTCTAGGACCATACCAGCCTCGTCAATTTCATCCGAGTTATTCCGTCCTGCAGTCTCGAAAAGACCTCTTTGAACATCCCGATGGTACCCGCTGTTATAGCAGGCGGTTTCTATTCCATAGTGATCAGCAGCACCCTGGAGCCATTAGTCTCTAGGCCCTTGTGTGGCAGGCGCCATCTCACACAGTTACCTACAAACGACCTGTCGTCAGCTGTATATGCCCAACTTTTCAAGATCTATGTATTCATTCAGGTAACCTAAACTCTGTCCAATAATTGGGGTCTGGATCATTTGGATGCGGGATGACAAGTTTCGCGTGGATTAGAGGAAGCACATGTCGTCTTCATGCAGCTCTAGAACGTTTGCTAAAATGACGTAGCGTTTATCTCAGCGATATTAGTTAAAGCCGTGACCACCAATATCTCGTTAGTCCTAGGTTTGGTAGGAGTTCCCTCATAAACGCTCCTATTACACTGGCTTTCATACTACTGCAGGAGCCTGTTAAATTAAGAGTGGTATATTTCCCAACAGAGCTCCCACTACTTTTACCTGTTCCTTGGTAGGAACTACGGCCAACTGAGATGAGTTCTAGCCATGATGATAGACAACGGAATACTCCGGCTCCATTCCGAGTAGAGCCTCCACGATGTGGAAATTGGGTGTTCGTTGCCGGAGGCAACTCAACCACCCTACTTTTAAATGTTTTATACGGAATTCAAAACCCGTACACGAGTCATCCGACTGGACAGCCATACCAGTAAATTCTTGCACTTATTCCAGGACTTCTGTGTCCTGAGGATAAAACCTCAACATCACCTTCACACTGCCATTTTCGTCCTATTGCACCGTCTTTATTGCAGCCCACAGAATGCGTTCTGAATCAGCCAGTTCCACAGTCCTAACCGTGGATTCCTCCCAAAACCTTAACCTATGTGCCAGCAGCTGGCAGTCTCTTACTACAGGGATCCTTATGATAAAGTCTCTATTAAGCGTTCGTTTGCCATTCCCGTAAAAACAGTATGTCCATAATGCGTGTTTACTTTCCCCTGACATAAGAACAGACGGCCAAAAGAGTATTTTCATACCTTGGAATTTTTTGAGCCAGCGAAGTTGAACGGAATTTTAAAGTTGAACGGCGTTTAAATGGTAGCAGTGGCTTATCTATAAGATAGATTTGCGCCAAAATACTCATACTATCCGACTGTGTCACATATGCCGTGTGTTCCTACTTGCGGTAGCCAGCTGTTAACGCTGTAACGGGTGTCAGTCTAGACACCCGTTGGTAAGATTACATGTCCCTATTAAAGAACCTGTCCGTACTGCCCAACTACCATCCCTTACAAACTGGTAAAGCCTTACCATTGACTCAGCACCTTAATTTTATGGACTGATGGACTGATGGCACTCATTTTTGAGGTCCAAAGGCATCACCAATACGGACGGAATGTAATCACTTTCGTAACTTTCTTGAGTATCTACATATCCGTGGACGACTATAGTAGAAGCCTGCGAAAAAGAAATGGACATGATAGTTACCACGCCACTTCGTAGTAGTTTCTATATCCCTGCAAATCTTTCCACCTTGATTTAGTTGCCTACATGCAGCTTGCTTAAGGCTCCGTCCGGAAAGAATACTCAATCCTGCTGTCCCGGTTTAATGGCAACACAGCTGGTGCTCTGCGAAGTACATGCAAGGGTTGTTCGGAGTGAATCACTGTGCTGACATATTTACTAACACTTGCGCTACTACACACGTTATCGCACGTGGCAACGTGCACAGTGCCGTGTAGGCCAAACGCTGTGTGATGCTGGAAGCTGTTACCTAACACAGACCCCATTCAGAGTGAGGGGCCTGAAATGTCATCCTAGTGCTTGGACTTCATCCGCTTATTGAATTATTAGCATTGGAACTACTGTTCCAATACACACCCTTATCTGGATCTTGTACCGAAAAATCTTCGTCCCTCTGGGACAAAGTAGGTGTATTCGAACATGA